AATGCCAACAAATTTGTTGGTCAGGTTCTTGAAAGTCACAATGACAAGTTTACCCTAAAGTTTGTTAGAATAATTGAATTTTGTTAATTTGTGTGGCCAATTGACAACATTCATAGATTGTGGATAGATCTTGCATAGTACCGAGCTATGTGAACCATAGATGGATAGGCATTCTAGAATAGCCTTTTCGGATTATTGTGGGTGCAGCAAGTGCGGGTGCAACACCTAATATTTATGCCTACTGTAGTGTAGTTAAATTAGCTTTGAATCATATGATGTAGTTCTATAAATTACAGTACACTAAATACAGTACTATCAACAAACTGTTTTTGGATAGTTTGATATTTTATTCCACCTCCATGTTCTATCGGACATGTAACTCCATTATTGTGTCGTGTAATTCCGTTTCCAAACAAAACCATACAAATACAATTAACCACAGATATATGAGCAGCAAACTTTCTTAACAATTTAGCCACATCTTATGTCCAGACTATGATGCCAGTCATTGATGTTAGTTGGTTATAATATTCAGACAGAACTTTGTGTTACTTGAAAAAAATTGAAATTGATAATTTCTGTGTAATTCCGTTTAACAAAATAAAACTTGCAACAGCCTATGCCTACTGTACTTGGTTAAAGTACAGTAGCTAAAAATCATATGATGCACTTCTACAAGTACACAAAGATTACAGTACATCCAATTCTTTTTTCCTTATGTCCAGACTGTGATACCAGTCACTAATGTTAATTGGTTTTCAGACGGAATGTTCCGTGATCAAAATTAAAATTGAAAATTTCTGTGTAATTCCGTTACCGAAATAGAATTGGTCAGAATTTCAAAATATTGTTAGTTTTTTTTTCCAAGTACCACTGTTTGATATTGGTAGGTGTATGTAATACTTACAGTACATCTATAAAAGTTACTATCCAACGCACGCCCTAATTTTCTGGGTTTTTCAAAATAAGTCAAAAATGTTGTGATTTGCAATACCGATATAATATATATGATATTGAAGAAAGTTAGCCGTTAACACTGTTGAATAAATATAATATAAATCATCAAAGGTACATATACAGTGTTTAATAAGGACATGATGAAACATCGTAGGCTACCCTGTAGCTTTTCAACGAATAAAGTCCTATGAAAAATCATTGTGTAATAAAATGTCTCCGACGGGATTCGAACCTGCGACCTCTCGCTGACAAGGCGAGCGTCATAACCACTAGACCACGAAGGCTTCATGGTTGAACAGGTCCAAATACCCGTCGGGAACATTGTATTACACAATGCTATCATTCCTATTCTTACTGTATTAAAATACTTTCCGAAAACCGGATCTCCCAATTCCGAATTCCGGCCAAATTCTCAAGTCTGGAACAATAAAATTACCTTCTGAAAACTGGACGGCCAGTTTAAAACGATTTATTGACGAAATACGTTAAATAAATCACTGGAGACACATCGACTGTAGTAATAACAACTATCAATCACAGAACAACACCACGTGTACGATGTTGGTGTTGATCGTGTGACACGCCGATAGCGCATTAATTAATTAATTGCAATAAGCCTAGATTTCATTTGTTTAATAAACTGATAAAAAAAAGTTCATGAGTGTGTTTCCTTTATTAAGGAACGTATCCTTTTCTCACATTTTGCATTCATTCTCACGCTAAGGCAAACCAAGCGGTCCCAACTTAAGGCTATCAATTTCATAAAAACAATTGCGCATGACACTTTGACTTCACCTCTGATTGGATGACGCAGTTTAGGGGGCGCTGCATAAGTTAGCACTTATTTTTAGCATTCAGTGACCCACCAAGGTTATGCCAGCGGCATTGAAAACCAATCAAGCATGCAACCACGTTGAAGCGAAGCAGAATATGGCGATCAAACGAAAAATAACGCTAACACTTATTATAAATTACGATACACATTAAGTTGATTTGTGTAAATTTTTATTGATAATAGACTTCGACACAAAAAAATCACCCTATATAAGGGTTTAAGATCAGCATGTACTTGTGTTTAGTTGATAGTAGACCCCTCGCGGTTAGTGAACATTGGAATCAGGAAGGAAAGACTTAGCTATGTACATGGATATACATTATCTGTAACCTCTGAGGCATATTAGGCGACCTTTTTAGCTTTGGCACTAAACAAGCAGAACAAAAAAACTGATGCCAGGATTAATAATAATACAGTCATTGGTGTAGTAGTGTGACACAGGGGTGGATCCAGTAGGGGGAACGGGGAGCCACATGCCCCCTCCCATTTTTGTTACTAAATTTTAAAAATTTCAATGCATATTAATGTTATGTCTACTCATCTATTCTGAAACTATGGTGCTCCCCCCCCCCCATCTTCCGTTTGGAAAATTCTGGATCTGCCCCTGTGACCAGACTATCAACAGTACAGTAACAGACATCATACCAATTTTCTCCACTATTCACCATTCGTCTATAGTTCAATGACAATGACTAAGCATTATTTTTATGAACGTAGGTATGTTTAATTGTAAATTGTTTAACTAAAACTAAATTAAATATGACTTTCTATACATCTAGCTATAGGCTTCTCCCCTGGAACCCACCTGGGCTTTTTCCCTGGCTCCCAGGCAAAGCTTGAGCCTCTGCCGAATGCATAATTGTTAGCTCAAAATAGGAATTTTAAAGTAATTCGTAAGTAACTTGCACAGGCTGCTGTTCGCACAAGTGAATTTTTTTCCACCCGAACTAGCATCCTTTCGAAGTAAATTCTGCTCGAATCTTCAAACTGGCATTCGCTCAAAGTGGCATCCACTCGAATTGACTGGTTCCCCATGCAGTACAGTAAAGAATTCATTGAAGATTTATGTGCTAAATCTCGCAGTAAAACTGTTTACTACCAGGAACCAGTACAAATATTGTGCCCTCTCTGGCCTGATTGAATGGCCTTTTTCCTGTTGCCTTTTTAGAGCACAGTGCGATTTCGTCTAAATGGTAGTCCATAATAATTTTCAGTAAAATAGGTAGCACAAGTGTCTCGTGTTTCGAAGTGGCTACAGCACCAGCCTCCTGTTTGGTTGGTATGCAAGTGAGCTCTCCGGGGTTGTGATGGACGAGAGGCGAGGCCAATGGATTAAACCCATTTGAAAATATTTTAGATGACGAGGAGGTGGTACAAGTCTTACTGTATACCTGCACCCGTTCAATTCTCAGCGCTGCCTCTCCTTGTGTTTCAGCTGGAGGGCTGAAACACAAATTACAATAGCACACCGTCTTTCAGAGGAGACCTTTAAACCAGCTTTCCGCAAACTTTTTACTTCACGGCATATTTACGATTCCAGGCAGAAAACCGCGGCCCAGCGGCCCAGCCGCGCCATGGACCAACATAACAAATCCTGGCAATAACTTTTGATCATGAAGCCTCCATGGACATACAATATTTTGGCTTCATTATCTGTTTTCTCAGTGATAAAATTTCATTGTATACAAATTAAATATTATTTTATTAAATAAATAATACCGTACATTGTGTTTCTCCCCCCCCCCCACACAATTGTTGATTTTTTTTTTACCATGATTCAACCAAACACGGTTCAGCCACACACGTCATAGCTTTCTCCTTCCAAAAACTTTTACGCACACTCTGTTACTCCGCAACTTTGAAAGACTACTTTACTATACAGGTATTATGTTTAGTAATAAAGTATCCACATAGCCATTCGGTTATCAAGAACTGTGTGGTGTTTCAATTTCCAGACAGCTTCGCGGCCCTCCAAAAATGTTTCGCGGCCCAAATTTGGGTTTAAACCGTTGGTCGTGTGCATTTATGGCCCATGTGCACATTAAAGAATGCAATACACTCTTTGGAAAAGAGTAGGGGATTGTCTCCCGGTGTACTGCCCAATCACCACCAGAAGGATCCCACTCAGTGGAAATAAATCTTCTTGACTTTCATGGGCTATCCTTGGTGTTTACACCAAATATATTCAAACCAATAGAGAAATGTGTTATAAAGCAAAATTATTTGGAATACATTATATGCAGTAGCTTGGATCATGCAGACGATTTGAGCATTCCGACAGAATCAAAGGAAGATCTTAATAGAGGCCTAAGAAATACTGTACTCAGTTTATTAGATCAGTATGGTATGACATTAAGTCTTCAGAAAACAGATCATGAACTGGCAAAGTGGTGATCCATCAGTAAAGTATCCTGAATCCATTTGCACTCTGAATGGATACCCTTTGAAGAAGGTTAAATCTTTCAAATACCTTGGATCATAGATCGCTTACAATTCATTCAGGACGGGTAGTTATTGAGTTGCAATATCAAGAAAATTGTGCTATTGGAGCATTCATTGAACATGAACGATTCCTTAAAAACTAATAGATGAAACTTAAAATCAGACTCATCTTTCTAAATGCAATCTGTAGAAGAAACGTATGGGTGCCAAGCATGGTGAACTTAAAAATGTCCCTGCGACGGATGATTTTAGATGGCTTTAGACAAAAAAAAATCCTAAAAGAAACGAAAATGTGGACGGTAATGAAATAGACTAGAGGTACGTCTATTCAAATAAAGATATTTATAGAATAACCAAAATGCCGAATTTGAAGTCATATGTTCAAAATCTCCAGCTTAATTGGTATTGTCACGTTGTGAGGATAAATAATGACAGTTTCCAGAAAATGTTTATGTTTGAAAATGAGAAGCAGAAAAGAAATGGTAGACATCAAGTAAACAAAAATCCAGAAAGAATACATTACATTCTGATTTCCTAAATGCATGCTACAGGTAATGTCCAAATACACCAAAATGGATCAAGATCTGATGGGAGCTGATATCTGTGTATAGCATTCGTGCAGGTATTGTAACACTAATAACTAGGCCTAGTGTAAGTCTCTGCCTAGCGTAAGACCAGCCTAGGCCTGGCTAGTCAAGGTAAAGCCAACTTGGTACAGACATGACTCTTATCTGAAAAAAATATGTTTTGTTTATTCTCTATATAGATTATCATGGTAGTCATCCTGGAATTGAACCAATGGCTGTATCTTCCCCATCATCAAGTAGCATACCACACTCTGGTACTGCCTTCCTACCAGGATTCTTGATGGGGGATCCTATGCCCACAGCATCTGTAAGTAGATGTATTAGTGATAATATTATAATTTTTTTTCTGATATGCAATTACAGAATTCAAAATATTATGTAAAATATTAATGGAAATAATTTGTGTACATTTATCTACTAAAATGTAATCAAAAATTTAAACATTTAAAGATTAATGTTGATTAATACTATAGCTTAAAAATCTAAGAACTACAATACCACTATCATCCTCTGGCTGGCAAAAATGTACTACTGTACAACAGCAGCAAAGTAGTCTCATTAGTCTGGTTTTCAGAAATCATTTGTAATATTATGGGTAAAAACCCAGCAAACGTCTGTTTTACGAATGACGATATTACAAATGACCTTTGCTTTTTGATCATCGACAAAGTAATAATGATAAAAAGTCTGATTGCGTACATTTTGTATATTTTTCTTAATAATAAAATCAGATTTGTTGTACTTATTTATTGACAATTCAATTTTTTCAATTTCTGCCATAATAATCGCTAATTCAGTTTCAACGAACTACCACCAATGCCAGTCGTTAAAATTAGCGCACATGTTTACGATGACAAAATAAAGTCAGCAACTTATTTGACACCGCGAAGCTAGATTTTCACGAAGTGAATGTAAACAACACAATTCAGCGATCTAAAAACTGCAAAAAAAAAAAGAACACGACAGAAGGGTCTATAAAGTATACAGACTTTTAAGAGAAATAAAACAATATTTTGTTAAATGGGAGAATGCTAGCGATTAAAATAATTTGGTTTTTATCGAAGATAAATTTAGCTAGGGCCTAGTAATCTACTACTATTGCGGTAGACCACGCTGCTGCACTGTCGGTTGGTTCGTACTACCTGGTCGCTTTAGTATATATCAATGGCAGAGGATAGCTAGGCTAGGTAGTGGAAACTGACACCTAATACGAATTTGTCAATTTTTTTGACGAATACCTCTTGGTACTACAGGTTCGTAAAATACAGTAATGTTTATTAAACAAGCCTTTCCACTGTGTGACGTCAACGGCCTCGAAGCTGGCTGGCTGTTTATCTGGCTCTAACTCGAACACAACTAGGGAAAATCGTATCATATTTCAAGATATAGATTAGTGACTTCGACGTGAACCAGGCTTTAGTTTATGTAGAGCATCTTGTGTGTATGTTTGTTGTGTGAAGGGGATTGTCACTATGAGTAGAACAATGATTAAGTTCACTGTTAGCCCATGTGATGAATGGGGCTACCACCTTATCGTGGTGAGGATGTTTGCGTGCTCTCTTGACCTGAAGAGCTATGTCGGCTGGAGTCTAGTACTCCTGTTAGAGTCACCCATGCCTAAAAGGTCGACAGGTAAGAGCCAGACCTAGAGTGCCCCCCCCCCCCAAGGTCCTCCAGGTTGCGGGGTTGGGCAAAGGGCTTTCCCATTCTCATAAAATAACAAATTATTACCAGAAACCAGAAACAGAAATGCCGAAAGTTTAAACCTTGTAAGAGCCGTGACACCCCAAAATGGTACAATGACGCCTTTGGGTGAAAGTCGTGAGGAAGCCCAGAGGCTTATTACATCAATGGTGAATCTAAAGAAACATATAAAAATTGGAAATTGGAATGTAAGGACTCTCTACCAAGCGAGAACCTAGCTCAAGTAGCGAATATCATGAACAAGATAAACATAAGCTTACTTGGAATCAGCGAGAGCCACTGGATGGGGAATGGTAAATTTAACAACAGGGGAGACAATTGTCTATTCTGGAAGAGATGATGACATACATAGAGAAGGTGTAGCAATTTTAATGTCAAAAGAAGCAGAGAGAGCATTAATTGACTGGACAGCAATAAGCAAGAGAATAATCAAAGCAAGATTTTTTTCTAACTACATTAAGATGACCCTTTATCCATACATATGCCCCCACGGAGGATGCAGATGAGGAATACAAAGACGATTTCTATGTAAAACTGCAGGAAATTATCGATGCTGTACATAAGCATGATATGTTTTAGTCATAGCCAGAGACATGAATTCAAAAGTCGGAGGGAAAAATGAAGGCTATAACAGAGTAATGGGAAAAAAACGGTCTAGGAAGCATGAATAACAATGGTTGCAGGTTGTGCGAATTCTGTGACCTGAGGGAGCTTGCAATTACAGGCACAGTGTTACCACACAAAAGAATCCACAATTTTTACTTATTATTATTATTATTATTATTATTATTATTATTATTATTATTATTATTATTATTGTTATTATTATTGTTATTATTATTATTGTTATTATTATTATTGTTATTATTATTATTATTAGAGATTCAATGAATACCATACTCCAGCTAATGTTTTCTTGCAGTTTTCGATTTGTCTTAATCTGTACACTTCAGTTCGTTAAACCCGAATTTTTTCCCTTCATTTTCCTCTTTTTAAAAAAAACTATTATATTCATTTATTTTTGTATTGTTTTCTTTATTTATATTTATTATATAATAATAATAATAATATAGAAATTTATATAGTGCCTTTTGCCAAAGGATACAAGGGATATATGTCTAATTGCAGTTCATTTAGCAGTGTATTGGATCATGACCGACTCTCAAACTTGTTTTTCTCTCCTTTTTTAAACAACTCTGATGACTTTACCTCCAAAATTGACACAGACACTAAATTCTTTTCTAATAACAATCCTAGAACATCCCAATATTATAAACCCAGTGAGTTCCCCGTCAGTATGCCACATGACTGCTTTTCCACCATTTATTTTAATTGCAGAAGCATTCTGAAAAACCTTGATCAAATTAAACAACTTTTAAACTCACTTAACATAACTTTCGACATCATTGGGGTAAATGAAACATGGCTCAAATTCGACAATCCCTTGATCCAACTCCCCAATTATCACTTTGTCTCTAACCACAGAATGCACAAGGACGGTGGTGGCGTTGCCATGTATGTTCGTGATAGCCTTCAATTTTCTATAAGAGATGATCTTATACCCGATTCACACGTGAAGTTAAATTTAACAAAAAGTAACAAATTGTAACCGAGCCATCTCCCAAGTTATTCGTACCAAGATATAAAGCATTGTAATGCCAAGGTTGTGTAAAATTTATTCAGTGTTTATTCAATGAATCATTTTTTCCCCTACTGCAATATAGGCCTAGCCTAGCCCTAGTTGAGAACCCCTGTCACAGATGGATTGGTGAACTCACCTTCACAGTAAACATTTGAAGCAATCAATGCCCTGAACAACTGCTGTACTATTACTACTAAATTAGGCCTTGCTTCCGACGTTTCTGTCGACTCTTGATAATACTAGTAATGGTACTAACACCATCCCCACCTTCATTTATGTATATCTTCTTCTACCATTACTAATTAACATCGATAACAATTGTAATTCATCCATCATTGAGAAAAACTAGGCCTATCTATTTCTAGTGGATCGGAGTCGTCTGCAGAAGGAAGAAAATTCAAAGAACCCCGAGAAACACAGTAGATTGTTGTGTTGAAATTCCTGCGCATGCGCAGATCCATCCATGCTACATCTCGGAAGCTTTACCAGCCTCAGCGAAGCTGGTAAAGATTACCGAGGCATTCCGAGATTTTACAAGGATAGGTACTTTCACACGTGCCGTAAAATGTTACTTTTGGTTACATCTTGTCACATTTGGTAAGATTTTTGTATGTATGAATCTGAGTCTTCTCCCCTCTACTTGTGAATCCATTTTTATTAGTTCCTATGCATGTAATGCAATAGGAACTATTGTAATCACTCTGTCACATTTCTTTTGTTTTTTATTGTGTGTAGTATGTGTGTGCGTATGTGTGTAGACATTTATGCAAATGCGCATGCGTTTCCGACATTTTGTTTTACATCGCGATGCGAAGTTCGATGTGGATTTTCTGCAGAGTTCAGTCAGGGCTCATGCTAACCGGTCGGCATGCATGAAACTATTTTGGTTTTACGCCAAAAAAATCAACTGTTGTCTCATAGGTATTTTGAAGAAGGCCTAAAATAAAACAAAAAGGTTTTAATACTTGCTGAAATACATCGTTTTTTCATTTAGATCTGCATTTTTACACTATTTCCATACGACGTTTGTTTCTATCGTATGAGTAGTCCATAGAGCTATTAAACAATTAGAGTGTTGACAAGATGGCGCAGCAATGCAGAGTTATGTATGTGTACCATCCAAGATGGCCGTCGTAGTAAAGCGCCACCTTCAGGCTTAGTATACATATTAT